ATTTATCATCACACCAAGTAGAAATTGATTTCTGTCTAATTCGTTTCTCAAACGAAAGAAATCATATTTTCCCTTTTATACAAAAGAAGAGCAGAGCAAACACTGAACCTTTAAAGGATCAGACGTGAGATCAGGTGCCATGGGGGATCTTCCGGGGTGTGTCGTGATCGACAACTGACTCAATCTTTCTGGTTCTCTGAAAGTATAATACAGAGAATCAGAAAGATCGAGTCAGTTGTCGATTACAAGACACACCCCCAATCCGTGCAGTATTAAACTCTTTTTTTCTTCTTATACTTACCTAAATGTGTCCCCAGTTCTATCTCTGAAATACACATTGTAGTTTTCATCCAGGTAGATCAGGTCACCGAATGAAAACCAGCGATCCCCCTCCTCAAATACGTCTCGGATGAATTTTTTCTCGTTCATTTCCTTAGAACCTTTGTAAAATCCAGAGTAGAATTCTTCGTTTACCCCACAAATAACGAGACCCACCTCACCTGGAATATGTGTAAAAATCAAAGCATAACTTGTACATTATGTACTTGTTTGGTCTATATGTCATCAAATTTCATCAATTCGACAATAAATGTATTCTTGAGGAAACAGACCTGGTTTTATATGGATACATCTCCCATTCTTGTCTCTTATCGGTTTTTCTGATCTGGTGTCGAATTGAATGAAATTTATTTGAAAGCTTTTATCCCGAAATACAGTTGCTTTCTGCAATAAAACTTTAAATATAAATCTTTAAAATATATAATTTCAAGTTACATGTGTCCAATCTACGTGTTCACGGTGCGACCCTCAGCCGTTAGGGTGAGCGCAGATCTATTCCTATTCAGTTTTAAATTACATCTGTCTCTCCAAAACGCACGTGACAAACGCTGACTGACATGACGTTGTATGTAAGTTGAATTAAAAATCTTTTTTTCTGCAATATGCATTAAATTAAAGTGATTTTATATTTTGCTTTCACGAGCAATGGGGCTTGTCACGAAAAATTAATCTTCTTTTAATATAGTTACCCCCACTATTAAAATACACAAGGGAGGAATCTAAAAATAGGAAATTCGCTACCACCAATTCTGACCGGACTTTGTCTAGCTTCTGGGCGGCTTGCGTTGCCAACCAAGTAGGAGTGAGTGGGGTATAGATTCGATTTTTATATTCTTTAGTCAAATTCTCATCAACGCGTATCGTTAGTCATATAACTAATCTTTTTTTGGTGACATTTGGACCTGGCGACAGTTCGGCGTTGAATGCTGATTGGTCGCTTTCTGTAGATAACTCGTACACAAAGTTGCTCTCGAATTTAGTGCACCAAAACGGAGGGAAAATTAAACTGTCATGATGGCATTAAACAATACAGCTGTGATTTCATGGTACGTATTTTTCTTATATTTGGTAATATTTATATAAACATGTTACAAGCGTACATATCATTCACTAAGCATGTCAATCCTTACAGTGAATAAAATCAATATATGAAAATTTGGGCGCGGATCTATAGTGCCGGGTGAAATAAATCGTTTTAAATGAATTTTGTATTTGATATAATCAAATCTCCTGGATCTCCAAATCTAAGGTTCAACAGGTTTGCGCTGAACAAAATCTTCATACAATACATTGTACCATCTGTATGCCTCCAAAAGACTTGCTCTCCCTTCGAACATGTCTGCAGACATATTCTACTTGTTCAAATTAACAACTTTCATTAAACAAGGATATTTCATCAATCATTACACAATCTGTAGGCTGTATATGAGTTTCGACATGATAATTTACATCTGTCATTATTCGTTTACTCAAATTCCTCATTGGAGTACCGACCATCCCTTAGTCCAAAAAAATTGTGAACCGTCATGCCCTACATTTTCCCATTGTTTTTCATTTCCATGGCTATTTTTTTTTCGTAGAACCGTTTCCAGCTTAGTTTGGACTTTCAGTAAGGCGTGGCTTCTCTCTCTCTCTCTCTCTCGGCGCTATATGTTTACCGCCTGTCAAAGGGCGAAAAGATTCTCATTGGTTAAGAAATTAAAAAACATCGGGAACTTTAAACTGATGTTCAAAACGACGAGACGACTTAAGCTCCACCTCTTTGGAGGACGAGACAATGTACTTGGTTATTCAATACACAAACGTAACGTCGAGAATGCCACGCCTTTCTGAAAGTCCAAACTAAGCTGGGAATGGTTCTAATATGACTTTTTCCTGTGGCTGCTGGTCCAATAAGGACGTTGTGACTCTCTGTCGCGATCTCCATTTTCCCTTACTTTTTAATTCGAGAGCTACTTTGAGTGCGAGTTATCTACGGAAAGCGTCCAATCAGAGCGCTGCATTCCATTTACACCGAAAATTTATATGGAAAGAACTGTCGTCAGATCCAATGTCGAAAAAAAAGATTAGTTATATGACTAACAATACGCGTTGATGAGAATTTGACTGAAGAATATAAAAATCGAATCTATACCCCACTCACTCCTACTTGGTTGCAACG